TACCTCGGTAGCAGCGCAACCAGACGTGGGAAGCTGGCTCCCACCAGACCACGTGCGGACACCGCTCTCACGACGCTTCATGCTTCCAAATCCGGGCCTGGGACTCAAGAATGATTAATCTGAGAATATGCGGCCCGCAAAACAGGTTAATAAGGGACGAAAATGAAAGTTTCTGTCCCCATCACCCTGGGTTATGACATTTGAGTTGCTCACCTGGCTCCCTCTGGTCCCACTGAACTGCGAGCTTTTTAGCTGCTGCGTATAACTGACACTGAGAACAGATGGAGGCAGACACCAGCCCTGGTAGCCAATACTTGTTGGCCAGCCCAGCAGACAGCTCTAAACTAAGAATTGCAATTAAGCCCTAACCGGTTTGGCTCAGTGGATAGTGCACCGGCCTGCGGATTCAAGGGTCCCAGGTTCGATTCCGGTCAAGGGCATGTACCTTGGTTGCGGGCACATCCCCAGTAGGGAGTGTGCAGGAGGCAGCTGATCGATGTTTCTAATTCTCTATCCCTCTCCCTTCCTCTCTGTAAAAAAGTCAATAAAATATATTTAAATAAATAGTCTTTACTTGAGTTTAAAAAAAAAAAAGAATCGCAATTAAAAAAAATTGTTTAGACTCTGGATGTAGCTCTTGAACAGCAATGAGAATCTTGCAACTTTATCATGACAAAATTTACCACATTCTGGGTTGAACCTAAACCTTTTCACGTGTTGTTTCATAGTCCTCCCTTCTTCCCCCTTTTACTCTTCATGATATATAGGAAATGAACTAGGAAAAAATACTTATCCCTGACAAGTAAATAATACATGTAATCCCTGGTCACCCACCCCCTACTGCCTTAACCCATACGCTGGCATTGCTGCCAAGACAAGTTACCAAATAGTCTTATAGTATTTCGACTTTATTTTTTGATTGTGAATTAGCAAAACACGCCATTGTGTTTATAAAATCTGAAATGGAAAAACAAAATTACAGTTTGCCTTCAAGCTTCACTGATGTGGGTGACACTTGCCTTCATAGGATAGGCTCATGTTTTAGGAGAACCAAGACAATGTCTTAGAATTTAAAATCAAGAAAGAAAATTCTGACAAGTTATTAAAAATAGCTTATCCAGCCCTGGTTGGTGTGGCTCAGTTGGCTGAGCATCATTCACGCACCAAAAGGTCACCAGTTCAATTCCCGGTCAGGGCACATGAAGGAAGCAGCTGATGGATGTTTCTCTCTCAAATCAATAAATACATATTTTTAAAATACTGTATATCAAAAGTGTATTTGCATTTGAAGTTGCCAGCTTAATCATGACAAATCTCTTACATATATTGAGGTAGGCTGTTTAAGGGTTAGTATTCTTTTTGCTAAAAATACTAGACTGTGAAAACATTCCACAAAACACACATAAATAGAATGTATGAATTAAAGTCATGCTTTGTTCTACTACTTCATTTAATCAGAGATTAAAATATACTCTATTTTAAATTCAGGTCAAAGAAACACATTCACACATGTTATACACAACGACAATTTTAATCCTGCATTTTCCTGCAGTAACATCCACTGCTGACTATATATGGATTGAAACTGCATTTGCCAAGAACTGTGAACATTAAGAATCTTTACATGAAGTCACATGTGTTGATATAGGCATACAGACATCTTTCAGCACCAACAGCATACATAACACATACCGCATGGTCTCAATGGATGAATTTGCTTCATCAGATAATCATATTTAGTAAAATTCACAGTTAATGCAGAATTTCTTTTTTAAATTTACATCTTTACTACACATTCTAAGATTTTAATTATTTATAAAAACATTCAAGATTGTAATTTGCATGGCAATAAACAATAGGTTCTAAATTTATTAAAGGAATCTATAGCAATTAAAATACCACCAGTCTTCCACTTGTAGCACCTGGCTTAAGACCTTTATAAAAACAAAAGTTTAAATTTGTTTAGTACATTCATTATAATGGTCAGTTTCTCTTGTGAGAAAAACATGTTTCAGTTGCTATTTCCCAGACAATATATTGAACACGGGTTTATAATATCTGCAACTGGTTAGCAGGATTTTACACTCAGATAGCCAGAACAAGAACTCCCAGCCTCTGTAAATGGCCTTCCACTCAGAACGATGACAATGTATGAAACGGATTTGGGGTCTGCCCCCTACTTAAAATTATTAAACATGTTTCCAAGTATTCTTGGAAAATATTTTAAAATATAGGTATAATAGTATACTATATGAATGCACCATCATTTCTTTAACCATCTCCCAATTGTACATTTATATCATTTGCAATTTTTTTGATAGTAGGAGTAACATCTTAATGAACCTAAGACATACCTTTAGGATAATGTCAAAGAAGTGGTTTACTAGGTCAAACAGTGCAGATGGTTTTAAGGCTTGTCATATACTTGATGAATAATATTCAGAGTAGCTTGAACAACTCCAACCAGCAGTATGTTTATGGGCCCACAAAGTGGACTTGGTTGGTAACAATGAAGCCCATTCAACCACAAATCTATCAGATGCTCAGGCATCTCAGAACTATCACACCGAAGAAGCAAGGAGATGATTATGCCTGGGGATGAAGCCCAATTACAATTCTTTAAAACGTCACTCAGCTTTAAACCAGATTAAATCACGACCATTTGGAAAATGATACACAAAATAAACTTCCCACAAAAAGTCTACAGTGTTTTTCCAAAAATAAAAAGTTTAAAAGACAGAAAGAGAAGTCAGGACCAAATGACCAAAAATTTTTATTTGACTAAATTCTATTTCATGCATAAGCATGACAGTCTCCCCTGTTTATAGGACTTTGGCAATAAAAAAAAACAAAACAAAACACAAGCAGCCTTGTACAGAACAGTGAAAATGCCAAGGGCGAGGGTAGTCCACAGTTTTACTGTAGGATAAATATTTTCTTTTCAAAAGGCCTCTCCCCCTTTGGCCAACTCTCAGTTCAGACCATTAAATACAGACAAATTCTCAAAATCACTTCTTCACTTCTCCAAGATCTTCAATACTATCATCATCCACCTATAAAACACAAATTACATCTCATGAGTTGTGACAGAAAATAACATGAAAGCAACCTGCCATAATCACTTATTTCTACAGATGTGTATGGTCCATAGACTCACCTCTGGCCATTTTTCCTGAATGACATCAATGATGTCGTCTGTAAAGTCTCCCTGAATGATGATCTCATCCTCCCCTGTCACTGAGGCACCACAGGAGAATTTTTGAGCAAAAAATCTTTGTGCTTCTTTAAGATCAATTTCTGTTATTTTAAGAAAAGAAACAACAAAACTATAATCAGAATTGTGTGTCAAGGACATTTTTCCATTTTGAAATTTAATCTGCATTTTAAATTCATAAAACAGATTGCATTCATGGGTTTCATATTCCTTTCAGAACGATAATCACCATCACAGGCAGTGGTCTTAATGCAACAATTCAAGGTAAACATACAGCCTCAGTACATAAAAATACCATCACCCATAATATTCATGACTCGTATAGTAAGATCAAAATAAATCCAGGACCCTAGCTGGTTTGGCTCAGTGGATAGAGCGTAGGCCTGCGGACCAAAGTCCCGGGTTCAATTCCAGTCAAGGGCATGTACCTCGGTTGCAGGCCCCTCCCCAGCCAGGGCCCTAGTCGGGGCGCATGCAGAAGGCAACCAATCAATGTGTTTCTCCCGGGGCGCATGCAGAAGGCAACCAATCAATGTGTTTCTCCCACACAGATATTTCTCTTTGTCTTTCCCCCTCTCTAAAAAAATCAATGCAAAAATATCCTTGGTTAAGGTTTAAAAAATAATAATAAACAAACAAACAAATAAATAAATAAATCCAGGAACACATGAATTCCATTACATATACAATTCTGAGTACAATGAAGTTCTTTTGTTTATCCCTTTCTTTATTCTTCTGTATCTCTTTAAAAAAAAAAAGATAATTTATAGCAGAGAAATAAACCTAATATTTGTAATGTGGTCCAGTGATTGTTTTCCAATCTGTGTTATCACACAAAGGGACCTTGATTTGCAGTTTCACCCCAGTTTCACTCTTCATTCAAGGCCTCCCTGCAGGACCTTCTGCCACCACCACCTTCCCTCACCCTCTACTGTCATTCCCAGAGGGGACGAGTCATTTTGCAACCCTCCAAGTTACAGGGCCAAAGGAGCAGCACTCACTGGTGGGCGTCAAAAGGAACCCTGTCCTTGCCCTCTTCATTCTACATAAAATGTGCCCATGCAGGAATTCTGGAGAGGAAAAAGTTAAACCAGTTCTCTCTGCGAAAGACATTAAAATGTCTTCCAAATTTGATTTTGAAGCTATAGTAACAAATGCAGAATCTTATCCTGTATCTTCTTAGCAAAAACAGACCCATGAAATTTTTATGATTCCAGATTTTTAGAAAGAGAAATATAGAGAGAGTTCACATGCTTTAAACACACTTAAGATCAAAAAGCAACTGTTTGTTACATTTGTTGCTTGGTGTAAAAAAAGAAAGAAAATTGTCTTTTAAAAGAAACTCTGTGTGTTCTAATAATTGCTCTGGAAGGAAATAAAAAGAGGTTTCCTTTCAAACACATGAGAGATCTGGGGTTACTAGGCACAGGAGAAGGGACATCACCCAGAGCAGAAATCATCCGAGCCAGGAAATAAGGGAGCAGTCTGACACATAATTACCCTCCCTCCTTTTGTGGTTTGATATCTTTTTTTCTTTTTGCAGTTAGGTCAGTGGTCGGCAAACTCATTAGTCAACAGAGCCAAATATCCACAGTACAACGATTGAAATTTCTTTTGAGAGCCAAATTTTTTAAATTTAAACTATACAGGTAGGTACATTGTTATTAACTTAATTAGGGTACTCCTAAGGCTTAGGAAGAGCCACACTCAAGGGGCCAAAGAGCCGCATGTGGCTTGCGAGCCGCAGTTTGCCGACCACTGACCTAGGACAAGTGAAGTTAAAAAATAAACCTTGTATCAGATTGGTTTAATAAATATAATTAAAATAAATGAAAAAAACAAAACAAAACAAAAAACACACTTAAGATTAAACTCACCAAAAGTTGCAAGGCCACACACTCTTGTTACGTATTTCTTCTTTGCTCTGGGAATTTTGGCTATCGTAACCTTTTGTGGTACGGTCTTCTTTTTTTGTTTTATTTGACCCCTTCCACCTTTATTTATTAAGGAAGAACTTAGCATTAGTTGTTTCACTTTCAACATAGTTAGAGAATACTGTCTTTAAAGTTGTTAACTTTCAAAAGGTACCAAATTTTATTTCTACAGTTGCTTGTTCTAATACAAAATTAATGAACACATGCATGAGTATTCATTCAATAGATATTTAAGTAATATGTGCCAAGCACTGAACTAAGGACACAAAACGAACAGAACACAGCCCCTTCAAGGATTCTCAAGTCTAGTCAAGTGCAACAAGAAAAGTTAAATCTAGTCCAGTCAGCATGGCTCAGTGGTTGAGTGTCGACCTATGAACCAGGAGGTCATGGTTCAATTCCGGGTCAGGACACATGCCTGGGTTTTGGGCTCGATCCCCAGGGTGGGACATGCAGGAGGCAGCCAATCAATGATTCCCTCTCATCATTGATGTTTCTATCGCTCCCTCTCCCTTCCTCTCAGAAATCAATAAAAAAAATACATAAAAATAGAAATGTTAAATCTTTACAGCAACCTGCTATTCTATATAATCCTATATAATAATCCTATATAATAAAAGGCTAATATGCAAATTGTCCCCTAAGGAGTTCGACTGACCAGGAGTTACACCTACTGCGAGTTTGACCACTGCTATGACATGCGCTGACCACCAGGGGGCAGAATGGAATGATAAAAGGCCCCAGCCTGCAGCTGGCAGCCAAGGGAAGAAAGGCCCAATCAGCCCTGATGGCCGGCCAGGCCTAGGGACCCTACCAGACCTCTAGTATACTATACCTAGAGGCCAATGCACAAAATTCATGCAAGAGTAGGCCTTCCTTCCCCGGCTGCCAGCACCGGCTTCCCTCCAGCCGCCGGCAGGCACCCGGGACCCAGGCTTCCCTTGCAGTCTTGGCTTCGTCCGGAAAGTCGTCCAGGAGGATGTCCAGTCTAATTAGCATATTATGCTTTTATTATTAGATAGGATCCATAAATACGACACTACCACAGCTTCGAAGAGGAGCGGCTAACCCTGCTTCTGAAGGACAGAATGGATTTCCTAGTCGAAGTGGCATCTAAGCTCCTGCAGAATAAGGAATTGTCCTGGCTGGAGAGGTTTAAGAAAGGACATTCCAGGAAAAGGAACGAGTTCAGAGATAAGAAAAGGCATTATATCTGAGAGCTACACCTGTCTTGATGAAGCACACTATGGATATGCAGATAAAGCCAGAAAAGCAAAAAATTCTGTATCAGTCATTAAAGGAACAGTACATCAAGCTTGTAATTTGATTTTACATTGAAGAAGGAGATAAGACACTGAATGTGCAGGAGTGAGATGACCAGATTTATGTTTTGTAAAGATCACCCTACAGTGTGGAGGGTGGGTCTGTGAAGAGTTAGGCTGATTGGGAGGCCACGGAGCCTGCATTAGTTCAGGTAGAAATTAATCAAAATCTAAACCAAAGCAATGGCAATAGCAACGGCCACTAGGCACAGGATAAAGACAGTAAGTAAGAGAGAAATGTAACAGAATTAAGAACTGACTAAAGGGACAAAACGAGAGAACCTAAGATGGGTCTCAGATTTCTGGCTCAGATGACTGGATAAACTGTGCTGTCATTAACCAAAATAGGGGAAACAAAAGACACAGATTTGGGACTTAGAAAGTTTACTTTGGAAATCCTGCATCTGAGGCGCCTATGGCACCATGCACATTCCCCATGTAGAGACATGGGCCAGGACCAGAGATACAGACCGGGGACTTCTAAGTGTCCAAGTTACGAACGTCGAAGAATCACCCTAGGACAGTGGTCGGCAAACTCATTAGTCAACAGAGCCAAATATCAACAGTACTTCTTCAAAATAGACTCGCCCAGGTCGAAAACCGACTTCTGTGCATGGGCCACGAAGTTTCAATCGCATTGTACGCGCGCCCACACATGGTATTTTGTGGAAGAGCCACACTCAAGGGGCCAAAGAGCCGCAGTTTGCTGACCACAGCCCTAGGAGAACAAGCAGAATGAAAGGTCAGAGGGCAGAAGACAGAATCCAGGGAAACATCAACTTCTGAGGGACAGAAGGGAGAAGTCTGCACAGAAGACCGAGGAAGAGTGATAGGATGAAAAAGAACATCACAGAAACCAAGGAAGTACAGCACTTCAAGAAAGGAGTCCTCAAATGCTCTTATTATTTAGCAATTACTGACCCTTATTAGAGGGTTTCAGTGGCGTGAAAGTTAGGTTAGGACAGACTGGGCAGTGAACAGGAAGCGAATGGCTAAGGGAAGCAGGGGGATAAGGCAAAGAAAGACATGGGCTCTTTGGAAATTTTTTGAAAAGATGCAAAGTCCTAAAAATATCTATAGGCTAATTTTAGTCACGGGGAGAATAATTAAGGAAGAAGAAACAGGAAGGGACAGGATCCAGAGGAGAGACAGACAGGTATATGCAACATCAGTAAAAAAAATGTCAACTGAGCTGTCAGAATAAGAAAAAATTTATATAAATGTCCTCGCTCTAATTAAATAGAATACACAGATAGTTTAATAAGGCAACAAAGTTTTCACATCATCAAGTTGGCTGGTTGCTTTTTACATATGTATACGGCAAATAAAGCATGTTTTCTTAGGTCTAATTTGCTGATAAAGCAACAAATCATTCCGGATCCAACTCCCCCCTGAAAACAAGGTTCTGTACCCCTCTGAATGATACTCATGAATTACAGTAACAGGCGGACGTTACTGATGTTGGAAATGCTTTCATCACTGATTTCTACTGGCAGAGGGAAGGTAAGTTTGTGTCCATCAAATCGTGGAGTTAGGTCTCACCTCTCTTTTGTTTTTTCTTTTCTTCCTCTTCTCCTGCTGGTCCTTGACCCTCACTAATTCCAGCTTCTTGTTTGGGTGAATTTTCTAGATGTAAAAACGAATTTCAAAAGCATTAACATCACTTCCTACTAATGTAAAAAAATCAAATCACCTTTGAGCAACCCCATACAAAAATAAGCAATTTTACAACAATTGAGCATGACTATTATTTTATTTTTGTTAAGCCTCACCCGAGGATATTTTTTCCATTGATTTTTAGAGAAAGTAGAAGGGAGGGAAGGGGAAGAGGGGAGAGACAGCGAGAGAGAGAGAGAGAGAGAGAGAGAGAGAGACAGACAGACATTGATGTGAGAGAGACACATCGATTGGTTACCTCTCACATGGCCTGACCAGGACGGGGATCGAACCTGCAGCCCAGGTACATGCCCTTGACCAGGGATCGAACTAGAGACTCTTCAGTGCACAGGTCGATGCTCTAACCACTGACTCACATCAGCCAGGGCCTTCCCCAATAATTATTATCTCCCTGTTCCCTGTTTATCACTACTTAACATAATTATGTCATTTGTCTCATTTTACTTATTTTATTTGTCTCCCCTTCGAGAATATAATTTGCAAACACATCTTTTGTTTGCTGCTTTATCCTCATCATTTGAAACAGGGTGTAGCATATAGTATGCTCACAAGAAATAATTTGTTAAATGACTGAGTGAAAATATATTTGCCCCTAAATCATTTACTCTTCTTTATATAAAAAAGGTGATATTTTTAACATACACTGTCTCAGAGAGAGAAGACACATGAAGCAGTGTGTGATTTGATATAAGGAATTTTAACCCAAGAACTTAAGATAGTTTTAAAGTTCATAGGTATAGGTTATAATTCTGTAATCATCCTACTAAAAGAAGACTTTTCGTATCTTTAAAATAATACCTTATGTGCATACTCAAGGGGCCAAAGAGCCGCAGTTTGCTGACCACAGCCCTAGGAGAACAAGCAGAATGAAAGGTCAGAGGGCAGAAGACAGAATCCAGGGAAACATCAACTTCTGAGGGACAGAAGGGAGAAGTCTGCACAGAAGACCGAGGAAGAGTGATAGGATGAAAAAGAACATCACAGAAACCAAGGAAGTACAGCACTTCAAGAAAGGAGTCCTCTCATGAGCCGCAGTTTGCCGACCACGGCCCTAGGAGAACAAGCAAAATGAAAGGTCAGAGGGCAGAAGACGGAATCCAGGGAAACATCAACTTCTGAAGGACAGAAGGGAGAAGTCTGCACAGAAGACCAAGGAAGAGTGACAGGATGAAAAAGAACGTCACAGAAACCAAGAAGTACAGCACTTCCAGAAAGGAGTCCCCAAATGCTCTTATTATTTAGCAATTACTGACCCTTATTAGAGGGTTTCAGTGGCGTGAAAGTTAGGTTAGGACAGACTGGGCAGTGAACAGGAAGCGAATGGCTAAGGGAAGCAGGGGGATAAGGCAAAGAAAGACATGGGCTCTTTGGAAATTTTTTGAAAAGATGCAAAGTCCTAAAAATATCTATAGGCTAATTTTAGTCACGGGGAGAATAATTAAGGAAGAAGAAACAGGAAGGGACAGGATCCAGAGGAGAGACAGACAGGTATATGCAACATCAGTAAAAAAAATGTCAACTGAGCTGTCAGAATAAGAAAAAATTTATATAAATGTCCTCGCTCTAATTAAATAGAATACACAGATAGTTTAATAAGGCAACAAAGTTTTCACATCATCAAGTTGGCTGGTTGCTTTTTACATATGTATACGGCAAATAAAGCATGTTTTCTTAGGTCTAATTTGCTGATAAAGCAACAAATCATTCCGGATCCAACTCCCCCCTGAAAACAAGGTTCTGTACCCCTCTGAATGATACTCATGAATTACAGTAACAGGCGGACGTTACTGATGTTGGAAATGCTTTCATCACTGATTTCTACTGGCAGAGGGAAGGTAAGTTTGTGTCCATCAAATCGTGGAGTTAGGTCTCACCTCTCTTTTGTTTTTTCTTTTCTTCCTCTTCTCCTGCTGGTCCTTGACCCTCACTAATTCCAGCTTCTTGTTTGGGTGAATTTTCTAGATGTAAAAACGAATTTCAAAAGCATTAACATCACTTCCTACTAATGTAAAAAAATCAAATCACCTTTGAGCAACCCCATACAAAAATAAGCAATTTTACAACAATTGAGCGTGACTATTATTTTATTTTTGTTAAGCCTCACCCGAGGATATTTTTTCCATTGATTTTTAGAGAAAGTAGAAGGGAGGCATCATAACTTTAATTTAAAATTGACAAAATGCCTCATTTGTACTTTTTCCTATATTTTTTCTGTACTACTTTTCAAATGCTACCATCATGCCTTGCTTGTTTGAGGCAAAAGGCACATGGTTAATATCACACTTATAAACTTCAGTGGCACTTTGCTACCATTTATTTGCAATATACTTTTTCCTTTTCCTATTACTAAAAATAATAAAATAAAATCAATTTCCCTCTACAAATCACTTACTATTTGTAAACTAACTTTTCAAGGCAAAAATGTCACAGTCACCTTCAAATGTCACATCACTAAGTGGAACAACCTGACATTATATAGGGATGATCTTATAATTATGCTATGTCAATCTGACCATTTTTTCTTTCTTAGTGGAACCTAAAATAATGGTACATCTTATAAAATAAAGAATTCCAGATTTGATGAAACAGGATATAAAGAATAGCTCTTAACTACACTAGCATACTTTTCTAATAATAATAATAATAATAGTTAGCATTTATCGTAATACATTCTTTTTTTAAATATATTTTAATGATTTTTTACAGTGAGGTAGGGAGAGGGATAGAGAGTCAGAAACATCGATGAGAGAGAAACATCGATCAGCTGCCTCCTGCACACCCGCCACTGGGGATGTGCCCACAACCAAGGTACATGCCCTTGACCGGAATCGAACCTGGGACCTTTCAGTCTGAGGGCCAACACTCTATCCACTGAGCCAAACCCGTTAGGGCGTACATACATTCTTGTCTTAGTTGCTGTACCAGAAGCTTGATACGAATCATCTAACTTATTTTATAGGCCTCAAGAAATAAGCCTCTAGCCCTCAGTGAAGTTTGTTAACTTGTCCAAGGTCAGGTAGCTGGTACTGCTGGAGTCAGGATGCAAACTCTGGCCATGACTCTAAAGTCAAACAATATAACCCAGTAAAACGCATATATAACAAAACTCAGCCAACACTACAAGAAGTTCCCCCGCCTACTCTCTTACTGAGGTATTTTACACTAATTTTAAATTACTATCAAAGGTATTTTTTAAATGTTTTTATTGATGTCAGAGAGAGGAAGGGAGAGGAAGGGAGAGGGAGACAGAGAAACATCAATGATGAGAGAGAATCACTGATTGGCTGCCTCCTGCACACCCCCAACCGGGGATGGAGCCCGAAACCCTGATGGGGAATTGAACCATGACCTCCTGGTTCATAGGTTGATGCTCTACCACTGAGCCACACCCACCAGGCACTATCTATAATAATAAAAGGGTAATATGCAAATCAACCAGATGGCCGAACAGCAGATGATCGTCCAGACAACCTTCTGGATGAAGCCGAGGCTGCGAGGGCCGAGGCAGTTTCGAGGGCTGAGGCAGCTGCCGCCAGGGCTGCGAAGGCCTACTCTGGCATGAATTTTGTGCATCGGGCCTCTAGTCAAAGATATTCAATAAAGGATGAGTTGATACAACTTTTTAACTCAGTAACATCGCTCTCCTTCTACAGTCCTTGAACTCCAGGGGAGGAGGTCTCTATTCCA